ACTATTCAACAGTTGCAATCCGTTGGGTTAGAGGTACAAACCATGCGCAGCTTTGTCTCTGACGGTGCGTCTGTTATGACTGGGGCCAGAAACGGGGTGGCAAAGCTTCTAAAAGATGAGAACCCATGGATCCTGTCTTTCCACTGCTTAGCACACAAACTTGCTCTTGCTTGTGCTATCTCTGCAGATACCCTTGACTACATTGCCCACTGTGAACTACAGTTGAACCAGTTGTGGAAGCTATTTGAGAATTCTGCAAAGCGCACTGCAACGTATCTTAAAGTGCGAGAGGGCACAAAGAATCTTACACTAAACTCGGGGGGGAGGAAGCAGGTAGCAAAAAAGCTGAAGAAGGCTTGTCGTACACGCTGGTTGTCGTTAGATAAATCGGTAGAGGCGGTATTTGTGGATTTCTGCGCAATAATCGAAACGCTGGAGCAGCTTAAAACTGAACCAACGGTATCAGCAGCGGATGGTCCCCTGAAAAGAATGAAAAAGGTGAAATTCATCGGCACCACTTACATCCTCCACGATGTCTTGCCAGTATTATCACAATTAAACAAGCGTTTTCAACGAGGAAACGTAAACTTCTCACACCTGCTTCCTGCAATCAAGGCCAAACATGCAAAACTAAACAGGCTTAAAGAGGACAAGGAATGTTTGAAAAAGCTGCAGAATGATCTCGCTCAGAATGGAAGGCTTCACCGTTGTGGTTTAACGCTTTCAGACAACAAGATGCAAGAGCTGTGTTCTCTCATGAACCGCAACATTGTGGCCCTGCAAGACAATATCAACAATCGCTTTGAACCCACTTTACCCCAAGTTAGCGCCTTTTCCATCTTCGATATCGCTGATCTTCCAAATGAAAGTGACCCGGGATTTGAAGACTATGGCCAGGTAGAGATAAAAATCATTAGTAACCACTTCTATGGAACAAAAAAAGAAGAGGAAAAGAAAATGAAGTCTGCAAAATTGCTCGCACAATGGGAGAATTTCAAGTTTGAAATGGTTGCTTGGAAGAAACAAGTGCCGCAAACTCTGTTGCAGCCGAATGACAGAAGTCCTGAGGATACCAACATTCTCACCACAACAGACTGGACCTTACAAAGGTTGCTTGCGCGGTGCAAGACCTACCAGGATACCTATTCAGAACTTCTTATGGTGGCGGAAGTTGCATGGACGATGCCCCTTAGCAATTGTTGGCCTGAAAGAGGTGGAAGTGCTATTAAACGCATCAAAACAAGAATGAGAAGTCGACTCGCTGATGATATGCTAAATGCACTTATGCATGTGAGCATCAATGGCCCATCGTTTGGGACAGAGCAGTGTACTGACATAGTCTAAAGGGCGGCAGAAATCTGGTTGTCCGCAAAGAACAGACGTAAGCCTCGTTCACCAAAGGAAAGCAAGTTACTCATTCTTTTGACCCAACCTTGTAACATAACGGTACATTTTTCCTGAATAGTGATGCAGTGTATTGTATGGTCATATGCTCACAACAATACGGTTTAAATTTTGCAGGTGCCTGAAGTTGAGTCGGTCAGTGAAACACGTGCTTCAGAAGGAGAGAGGCTGAGTGGCAATGAAAGTCAAGAGGCTGTAGATGAAATTGAAGGCAACGAGGTCGATGCTGATGCTCGCACTGAAGAGGTCAGTTACACGACTACAGCGATTCACGTTAANGATTTCATTGTTCCATAACACAAAGGATGTAAGGCACTGGGAAGGCAAATCAAAATAAAATTGTAATCCATAAAGAGTTGATGATATCGAAATTCATACGCATCGATCTTACAAACCCTTTCCCACACATAATGGGCTTGATACGGAAAATAACAAACAACAAAAATAATAATAAGCACAAAAATCATCTTCAGCAAATCTTTCTCTGGGTCTGTGCTGTTGCGTTTACAGTCTCTCTGGTTATTTTTGTCGAGCACGACACTCCTTTGTTCCTTCATTCTTGCGTCCTGTCCCAAATCTTGTAGTCCCATTTGATCTTCGATGTGAACAACACAAGACGATTCGGCAGTCGAGGTCCACTTTCTTTGGTTAATCTGCATAATTCGCCTCTTCAAGTTCCATGCCACTGCTCCGTAAGATGCCAGCATTATCACATAAGGTAAAGCGTAATTCAAGATGAATCTAACGATCGCATAGTACTCATTGTTTGTGATAGGCAGCTCGATGCATCTGCCATTTCTCAACCTGAGACCGATGAAAAAGGGACAGGCGATTACAAATGACAACAACCAAGGCCCAGCTATGGTTAGAATTATGATCTTCTTAACTGATGGTCCACGTGGAAATGGGTTTACAATGAATCTGTAACGATAGAAAGCGAAAGCAGCCAGTGAGTAGGTCACAACGAGAAGAGCAATCACTTGGAATGTATTCAAAACGCAGGCGGCCTCTTGAAGAACGGCGTTTGTCGGATTCTGCCAGCTCGCAAACATAACGACCAAACAAACGCTACTTAGGACTTCCGCAAAGGCCATGTTAGCGACAAGATGGTAGGATAGAGGCTTACGAGAAGGTATACTCCACACAGCATAAAAAACCATGGAGTTGTCAATTATACTGGCCGAGATGATAACGGAGAAGAGGGTCACGCGGAAAATGTAAACAGCTTTTGCTTCTTCATACTGTTCTATCCACGTAATAGATTCCACGGTGGAGGGCTTGGTTGAGTTTGTGATGTTCGTATCGTTGATGAACTGCATTGTTTCCTCGTCCTCCTGCACTTGTTGTGGATGTTTCTCGTCCTCTTTGTTGACACCTTCACTGCGAGAGAGATAAGCATAAAAAGGATACTGTGTTGAGAAGCCGTTTCGCTAAAGACTTTCCCGCAGTCTTACTCTGGACTGTTTTGAACGTCACAAATGGCTCCGAATTTTAAACCCGTGAATATATGAATGATAAATTTTATTTTGGTTTAATTATAATTAAATTTGTTATTGCTGTCCTCGTATCTTTTATCTCATATCTCGATATACATTTATGATCGTTATAATGACTTCTTTGTTGAGTACTGAATACATGTATCGTATTTATTAGATTAAGTGTCCAGGGCGCTTATTTCATTTTTGGACTTTCGGGGTGGGAGCTTATTTCATTTTTGGACTTTCGGGGTGGGCGCTTATTCGCGGTGGGTGCTTATTTGAGGCTGGGCGCTTATTAAATTTTCACCATTTTCAGTAAGTAAAACTGAAACAATGAAACTAGAGATTGTAAGACATTAAAGAAATACCGTACCGTAATAATCAGTACCCGTATTCCTCTTGTGTACTTTGTTATTATTTTTTTTGGGAGGAGGGGGTGGGCGCTTACTCGAGGTTGGGCGCTTAAAAAGTACTTTTTGGGGGTGAGGTGTTGGGGGTGGGCGCTTTTTAGAGGTTGGGCGCTTATTAACTTTTTCTACCTTCAGGGTGGGCGCTTATTCGAGGTTGGGCGCTTAATCGAATAAGCACGGTAACACGAATGACGCCAAATTTTCAGACTAGTGACAAATGAATGACGATTCAATGATAAATTATAATGCTGCTATTGTTAAAGATCTCTCCAAGAACAGCGCTCGTATACATGGATATTACAAACAGCTGGTACAGGGCCAAAATCAATGCGACAGTTTTAAATCACACAAACTCCCAGTGATTCCCGAAATACATTCGTAGGCTATAAATAAGCCTGTAAACATTTTATTTGGTGTAATGATGCCATAATATTATCAGAGGAAGTCATCGTGGTAAATTATTAAAGATATCCAACCGATAGACAGGGATAAGGCTCAATTCTGGGCTATC